ATGTTACATTTGATTTCAGTGTATTTGCCTTTCCATATTTCAGGTGCTAACTTTAAACCACTCGGCTTATGTATTAAAAACAAATGACATCCTAGTTTTCAAAAACACTTTCCTGTATTGTGTGAGATTTGTACTGCTGTTATTATGGGATATTATATAAGACATGGGGATTAAATGGGCTTAACTAGGGGCTCTATGTTTGTGGACGTGAGCTCCAGTGTACACCTGTGGTTAAACTGTGTTTGTTAGTTTGTTGTCTTATACGGAGTGGTGCCAACAATTTGACCTTTAGGTTGTTTTCACACGAGTCATAATGAGTTGGTGAATCATCAGGTAGAGCTGCTAACCTGAGAGTCATAGTGTGTCACACACAGACACACACCCTGCTCTATCGGCAGTGCTGATGGTTTTCCTGATGTTCCGGCATGTTTGTGATAAAACATGCTTTTGCTTTTTAAAAAGGTCAATAAAGTTTGGGTTGAGTAAACTTTCTGTTGTTTTGGTTTGTTGGCTGAGTCAAAGATGCCGATTAAGATGTGTTACTCAAATACATGTGCTGTTATCTGGGTTGATAATTAAAACCAGCAGGACTTGTATGTTTGATGTAGCTCTTGGATTTTTTGGTCTGTATAAATAAAAGTGAATTGAACTGAGTGAGCCTACGTTGTGAGTGTATGTGTGCGGTTTCTCAGCTAGTTTCAAACACCAAGACAGCAACCATAAAAACGTTTACATAACAATGACTGTTTTAATTAAATCATCCTGATCAGGAAATGGAAAGCCTTAGCAGCATGTTAACAACACAAAACAATGAGAGTGACTGCCGGACCACAGCAGTTACTGCTCCATGCTCAAAACTCTGCCAGTAACTTTATACCGAACCAAAAATCACACAAAGTCAAAGCAGCAGAAAAAGCCTCACGCTGTCAGGTTCGTTCATGCATCCAGAACGATTTCAAACGCTTGTCGTGCTTGTTTGACGCTGCTTAGCCAGAGGCTAGAAAGCAGAAGCTGTGAGCATTTCTCAGTGTCAGGCTTTGACAATAAATCATGTTTACGAGATCACATCTGCTGAAACCGTTCACTGGAATCAAACGATCCTCAGAGGACAGGTTCACACACAAACTCCCTGTAGTCATCCCACCTTGCCCAACTTCTGATTACGCAAACATCCAGATTCTGTTCCCACTGCTCGAGTTCTCGTATGAGTCACTGATGAAATGATTTTAAAGCAGACCGCAGATAAAAATGGATGTAGCTAGTGTGAGTAAAGTCTAGTTAGTTCAGCCTAGAGCTGATTTTTTCACCATCAGCGTCTTGATGTTAAACCTGACAACTTTGACAAGTGAGGGATGGATCTAACAAGAAGCCTCCTCACACACACCAGCAGACCCTCGTCGTATGTGTCCTCCTGTGTCTCCAGCAACAAACAAAGTTACTGACTACTCTATAATGACAACTGTAAATTGTTCCCTTTCAGTTTAAGGCAGAGCCAGCCAACCAGGAGCAGTCTAACATCTGGCATTTTTCCACCTCGGTCACTGCTGAGGTCAAAAATGAGAAATAACCTGATAACCTTCATCTCAGTTCAAAGATGTGACGGGGAGCTGAGGGGAAATGCCCTTTTGCACCACTAGATGGTGCTCATGACTTTTTCTTTTGTTGCAAAAGGGGTTGTGAGGTGCTGTAATACATGTGATACAGTTTATTCCAGTCACATCACCCGGATGGACCCCTGCATTAATCACTGGTTACTCAGTTCTTGCCTGTGGCCCTTCAAAGTCTCCTTTATGGTGGCACAATTTACAGCGACTCAGTGTTTCGACCCAAAGCTCAGATTTCCATCGAAGGCCTTATATAAAAATAGTTATGGGTTAGACCAGGGGTTTCGAACTCCAGGCCTCGAGGGCCGGTGTCCTGCAGGTTTTAGATCTCACCCTGGGTCAACACACCTGAATCAAATGATTAGTTCATTACCAGGCCTCTGGAGAAATTCAAGACATGTTGAGGAGGTCATTTAGCCATTTAAATCAGCTGTGTTGGATCAAGGACAGATCTAAAACCTGTAGGACACCGGCCCTTGAGGCCTGGAGTTCAACACCTCTGGGTTAGACAATAACAAACAGCTGGGCAGTACAATGAGACATCCCTCACATAGCAGTAAGCAAGTTGGAGGTTTCCGTGCTCCAAACACGCCAATTAAACTGCCAAGACTGAGTCTATCTGTGGTCTACACCACAGGTATAAAATGTAGTGAAATATACACACACTACACATACACCACAATAATTTACATCTTAGTAATGTACACCTGGATTATATATATGTAGAGACTGACACGGGAGCCAGGTCCTTGCTGTTATACTTCTGCCTGAAGTCCACTTCCTGGGCTCATGCGTAATTGGTGCATTGAAGTATAAATTCTCCATGGATCCTTGCACTCACCGTCGGATGATGTATGTTACTGGAAACCAGCCATACCTACTGGACTTGCAGACGTGGAAAATATATAATAAAAGCCACATCGCAGTAAACGTCCAGGTTTCTTTGCATGTTTCTACATTCTTCCAGTCTCCTGGCTGCACTAACACTCTACCAGGCCAACTGATGTCAAACATCCCATCAGAGAAATAATATGATTCTGATGGCTGTGATGTTACGACTGCTAATATGAAGTTATTTAGTATTAGACTTCAGTGTCTTACTTTTTTTCTTCACCGTTTTTTTGTTTTGTTCACTTCCAGAAGGATAGCTGCTCTTCATTTTTATTGACTGGCATCCGTCACTGGGTTTGTTTGAACAGAATCATAAATATCAGTTGTAATATGAGTGGGTGGAGTTGGGTGGAGTCGGGTGGGGCTCCATTAAAGAGGTCAGGTGTGTTCGATTGTTATGGCAAACTTTGCACAAATCATTACTCCAGTTTAAAGCTTGCCAGCCCTCGGGGGCCTCCGTACTGGCCTGGGGCTCCAGGGAGCCGATGGTGGCAAGTAGCACCTCCAACCTGGAGTTGTTAAACTGGACCAGTGTGTGTGTGCTGATCTGACTAATATCCAGAGGTGGTAAAAGTACAGACATTCTGTACTCAAGCAGAAGTACAAATACTACTATTAAAAATATTACTGTAAAAGTTGAAGTACAGAATCAACTTCTTTACTCGAGTAAAAGTAAAAACGTACAGGCTCTGAAAAGCACTCAAAGAAAATAAAAAGTAGGTCTTTGGAGGATGTTTCTGTTTCTGTGCAAAGCTAACTGAACCTTGTGCTATATTAGCATAATATTAAAATAATATCAGTAGATGTTAATACAAACTTTATTAAACTCTAAATGTTCTCATCTTGAATCAGAAGAAAAAGAAGTAAATAGGAAGCAGCTCTATTTTCTTATGCCTACATTATAGTTGGAGACTAAACAGGGAAATGTGCACCGCCAGAGGTTAAAGTGGGGGAAACTAAACTAAATTAAACTGGTTGTAATGGTTCAGTGTGTGGAAAAGAATCAAACACATTAATTTCCTGCAGATTTTCTTAGTGTACAGGCTGTGATCAGCTGAGCTGCTGACACACCTGGATTCAACCAGATGTTTCCTGAGTTGTCCTGGATGATTTCCATCCTCTGCACTGACTCTACACTG